CAAATGTATTTGTTAACAGTAGCAAATACGGAAAGCCCAAATGTTTCTATGGATTTCACAAGTCTGCTGACGCTAATTTGGTTCGGAAGATCGCTTACTTCAGCTTAGCTGCTAATGTTGTCTTGTCGTAATGAACATGGTCACGAGGTTTTAAAACATTTGTCACTCGAACGTTTTCATTTGTTTCGTTATGTTGATATGAAGATTATGTTAGTATCTGCAAGGCGAATGTGAGCCTGAAAGTTTTTATAAATTTTCTAAATCTAAAAGTCAGTGTGGCAGAGGGTTGAAGCTGAACCCCATCATGCAATCAATAGTCTATTCAAAGCACCTTCACAATATATTAAATTTTAGAAACATACTTTGACCCCAAGCAGTGCACTTTAACTGGCACTATTTGAGCTATGTTTTAGAATATAAAGGAGTGTAGAAAAAGAAGGCGAAGTTCACATACTAATCCTATATCTATAGCGAACTTGGCATTGGTTATTTGGCTCGAGATCGAGATTAGATTCTTTGAATAATACAGGTAAATCGTCTGATAGGATTTCAGAAGAACTATTAAGAGTAAATAAACAGCATAATTATAAAATATTACTATCTATGTTGACGCTACAAAATATCAGATGATATGACAATATAATCCTAGATTGGTATCAGGTGTTTCTAGTTTAACATTAATTACTATAAAATAATTATGAAATAACCTTAAAAAATGTAACTATACGTGATTATTATCTAGAAATCGCAACTCTATTTAAGTGGTATGAAATTAGTTCAATGAAATTGTCATGACATTATAATCATAACTTAAAGTACGATAATCAAAAATAATTTGAATGCAAAAAAAAATTCATAAAATGCAAATACATTGTATTTTGTCGAAACATCGATATTGACAAAGCTACTTGATTCCATGAAGGTAAAAGCCAGATCCGCTCAGAGTCGAACTATTTATACCAGACCTTGAGTCCACGTGTTTCTATTTATAGCTCCATTATAGATCCATTATTGGAATTAATATTGTCGGCAAACTTTGTTTTAAATTCTTCTTTAAGTTTTAAAATGCTGCTTATTGTTGTTCGACGCAAACAAAATTTCATGGCTAAATATTTCTGCGAAGAGAGCGGCACTTTTTCATTGCTTTTCTTCACAAACTTTACGTCTGACCAAATGCATTGAAAACCAACATGTTGAGGATAGATTTTATTTGTCAACGAAATAATTATCGATGAAATAGCCACCGAAGAAACATAATCATCTACTGGCGTCAGATTACGACAAATTGATGAATATAACTATTTCTGTATGACAATGGCATTACCTAGCCAGATCTCTGTTTCAGCATGGTAGAATCTGTCTCTCGTTCATACAATAAAGATCAGTACAGTACAAAAAAACTGAAAGAACTCATTTATTAATTTAAAAAGCTATCTATTGATTTTTCTCCTATTTCTGACCTGTCTGTGGTCCTCACGTCGATGGTTATAAATGTTCAGTGGGTGTGAAACACTACACTAATAGCAAGTATTTCATTTTCTGGATTTCCTGTTGGCAATTTGATTTAACCAACTAGTTATTTTAAAATGTATCCTTTTTAAGAAATTGACCCAGTGGGCTAGTTTTAATATTCATCTGAAGCCTTCGTGACTTGGTCATCATAAAATTGACCCAGTTGAGATTAAATAACTGAGCAGCTATTGTTAGGATCAATCACATATTTCGTGTTTATGAGCTTGGTATTAAACTGCACACCCTTTCCCTTTTCTGTTCTGTTCCCACAACCAATTGCAACTTTGACAACAGGCAATATAACATGTTGTTATTTTCAAACCTACATGTATGTGACATGCTATAACACTAAAGGTAATTTAATAGTTCCATTGAAATAGTAGTGATCGGAATACATATCGCTTGCGTTCCTGCTACATCCTTCCCTCATAAGGATAGTTTTTGAACTTTGGTGGGACATTAACGCATCCTACCCAGAATAAACCTGGATTTTATTTTTCACTGCCTGAATTGGACACATCCATGCGTTGCTAACACTGACAAATTATTCTCTAAAAATGTCATCCGTTACAATTTATTTAACCAGCATAGAAAAAATATATATTTATGTGTACTTATTGCAGGACATATAGAAATTGGTATAGGCTAAGAAGAACAAGTTATATGGATGAACTGACAATGTTCTACATGCTCACATAGAAAGCGTTATCTTGAGAAACAAGGGAACAGTCGGATTATTAATGTTTAATTGAAATAAGGTTTGGACGAAAACCGGAAGATCTATGACATTTGTAAGGTTCTTTCCTTTAAAATATCGACTCGTTGTCGTGATCTGCCCAGAGTCTAAATGTCTACCAGACCAAACTTCGACCCAAATTACGATAAAGAATCCGAACTTTGTTAGAAGTGAACATCAATTGGCAAGTAGTTTGATAAATTGTCCCAAAAATAATTGAAACGTCTTTTAATATCGAGTATAGATTTTCACTTGGAATACCAACATTATTTAATTTGGAGAAGAAAACGAATGTTCATAAAATCAAAGATTTTCAAAATATATCGAAACTAATAAATATCATGTTTCCATGCTTTGAAATTGAATTTAGCGTATTTACCCACATTATTAGTTAACTTTACTTGACATTCAGTTTACTTGGAAATATTGACCTTGAAAATGTTATACATTGCAGTCATTTAAGTGAATATCTTGTACTTGACAATCTTTTACAAGATAAACATTTACTTGACAACTTTTTACTTGACAATATTTTCTTGACACTTGCCGAAAAAGACAATTTATAGTCAGTTTGGATTCTAATGATATACAATTGACAGGTATAGATAAATCACTTACAGTCGTGAAGAAGAGAAAATCAGATGTTATCATGGAGATCTAATTACAACTATTGATGGAAATTCGCTGAAAATTGTGCTTAAAACGGCTTCAAATGTAAAAATGTGATTTGCTTGAAACATGTCTTACATGGATCTGAGATAATTCAGTCGTAAAGTCCACTCAAGACTTAGCAATCAGTTTGAAACGTGGTAGTTGATGAAAGGATGTGAAGATAGCGAAAGTGACATTTAAATAGACTCAACAAGTAATTGTTGTAATAACATATGATTTGTCTTGTTGTGTAGAAAAGACACCCTTGCGTCGTTTATTTGTTTTAGTGTTTCCAAATTACTTTCTAGATTTAGCAATAATAATGTGTAGTTTTAAGAGATTGGTTTATTTGTTTCAGTCTTCTTCCAAATCTAATAAGGAATAGATTTGATTTTCTTCAACAAAACTGAGGGTGATATAAAGTTCATGATGAAACTACCCTCATAATTGTAATAGCACTTTTGAATACAGGGATTTTTGACGTTTAGTGTTAAAGTTTCTCGCTTTTTACATCCACGATCACCAAACCTTGATAACTTAAAAACAAAAAACGAAGAACAAAAGGAAACTGATCGAATGGTTTACGATCTGACTTACTTAAAGCCTTATCAACCCCTTTAATGTTTTCGTTTTTCTTTTATGTCCTGTCTAAATATTTACACAAATTGCTTTATCCCAACTTTAAATGTATTAAAACACTCTATTAACCACTTAAATAAACAATTTAGACTCTTTGAAACTCAATTTGATAAGTATTTAAATAGTCATGATTCTTTTGGCTTTTTGAATATTTGTGAAATCAGCATGACTAAACACTAATGAGATGATCAACCGTCTTACCGATTTACATAATTCATATAACTTACTTATTACAGAATATTCACAGCCAGATTCCAGAAATATCTTTACTCTTTCTTGTTGGTCAGTAATTTCAAAACCCATCATACGTAAACACGAAATAGACTGTAAAGAAATGATGTATTTGGCATCAATTCTATTAACAAAATGCAAGTGGCGATGATGCCCCAGCATCAGGGTTAGATGGATTCGAGGTAATTAAATATGTTCAAACCTTCGAAAAAACTACATAAAACAGGGCTAAATTTTTCTGACCTGACAACCGTCATAATGGTTATGAAAGTCTATAATAGAGGCAGATGATTCGGACTATTTGGCATCAAGCTCTTTTATAAATTTTTTGAACACACCAGATCTAAGATTTTCAAAGACGCTATCACCCAAAACAGTTACCAGTAGTAGACATATTGAAGCACTGGCTCTAAACAAATGTCACTCTCAAAGTCGTAAAATATATCTCAAACAAGAAATTTCTCTTTCTATTTCTATATATGTCTCAAGAAAAGACATGTCGTCATTCTAACTTTCAAACATGGGTTATTTTAGACACACATGGATTTGAAGGCTCAAATTTAGAAGATGAGCTATGTACCCTATAACTGATAAGCTCAGTTAAAAATAAATCCGGTTCTACAACTTAGGTACGATTGATCAAACAGGCGGTGAATCTGTCCCTTTCATATAATAATGGCGTCATAAATTAGGAATCTGAATAAGACTATCGTTAACCTAGTTTTAGACCTTTGAAAAGTCGGCACTACCTTAAGACTAATCAGGCAAATACGTTTTTCGTGATTCTCAATATTCTTTTGTCTCTATTTTCAGATTCCAGCCAATTTATTATAATTTGTAAACACTACAAGAGACAGTGGTAAACATGGTAAACCTTTCAATCAGCACGAGTTTCAACCATTAGAACTATAAGATGTGAGGAGCGATAATGTATATATATATATGACAAGTTGATCAAAACTTTGATATTATTATATTGAAAAATAAATACTGAACTAGAACATTAATCTGCCCGATACTGTTGGGTAAAGTGCAGTCTTCAGCGCAGCGAGTGGAAAACAGAAGAACACTGATGGATTAGATTTTAGCGAACTAAACTAATTCATACCAGCAATTGATGGATGGATATAATTTACCATTAAATTTATCAATGATGTGGTCTTGTGTTTTTGTAATGTGAGAATTTACAAGCTCGGTTTAAATTGTGATTTGTGTGTTTAGAATATTAATAATGGCATCTGAGTATGAAGGCGAGAGTGACTCGTATTCGGCGGATGTGTTTTTCGTAGTGGGAATTGTAAAAATAGGATTAGCTTGTTTTGGTGTGATTGCGAATCTGATAGCTATAGCAGTTCTAATAGACAGGTCCATGAGATCGTCGACATCAGCAATACTAATCAGTTTGGCAGTTTATGATTCGGTGTTTTTATTGGCGTCAGCAGGTGTTGTATTGGGACCATCTGATGCTATCTGGTTAATGTTAACAGTTATATATCCAATACGTTATATAGCTCAAATGGGATCAGTATATTCGACCGTCATTGTAACTATTGAGCGATTTATTGTTGTTGCATATCCAATGAAAGCTCGGATTATATGTACATTATCGAATAGTCGGATTTTAATGGTCGTCGTTTTCATATTTTGTGTCGGCTTTAATATACCACGATGTTTACTTTTCTTAATGATCCCCGAAGTGAATTCTACAGCTAATGCGTCCATTCCATTTGATAGTGATTATATGAATTTTCACAACAATATATATGAGCGATATTTAACTACTATATTTTATTTCCTAATACCATATAACTTTATAGTTTTATTAAATATCCGTTTGTTAATGACACTCAGAAAGAGTAAAAAACGAACTATAAAATTAAGCCGTCATCACCATGATAGAAAAGCATCGAGTGCTATTAACAACCCTGCCGATAAAGAGGATAGCTTAACAACCATTGTAGTTGGAATAACTGGCTGTTTTTTCGTTTGTTGTTTCATACCTATGGTGTATAATTTAATTGTGTTATGTGAACCGACTTTAAGAAACGATAAATCAACATTCTATTTATTACCAGTTGGAGACACTATGTTATGTATCAATTCGGCTACAGACTTTATATTTTATTGTTTATTAGGTCGACGATTCCGAAGTCTTTTCAGAAAAAAGTTTTGTCGATGGCGACATCATAGACGAGATACAATGACCAGCCAAAATACAGGAACATTGTGACTTACTAAAATAAAATCAAATATAATATATTGTAATGTTTGTACAAAATGAAAGAAGTAAAACGAAAAAATAGTCTTTATGTTATTAGAAGGAACAATGATTTCTAGAAGGTATTATATATAAGAAGAATAAGCTTAAGCCGGCCTTAAAGCAAATTAATGTCTTAACATACGTCTTAAGATCTTTCTCGAATGCCAAAAGAATTTTCTTCTCAAAGTGGATTGATCTTCTAAATTTTAAGTCTTAAAGTTGTTAATGGTTACTTAAAGAATTGGATACATGTAGCATCTGAAAATAATAACGTTGACTGTTTTCTGTTAGTTTCTGAATTGATATTTGTTAAGCTATTGTTGGAAGTCTTTGAACCGCATCACAAACGTAACATCATTTCTATCATGTTCTCTTTTCATCAATGTTCTTTTTTCACGCCTGTGTTCCATGTTGATCACTAATATACATGCACAAATAGTTGGACATTAAAACTTATCATTTATTTAAACTATTGGTTACAACGTTCTGCATTCGAGAGCCCCGTTTCTTTATGGGATCAATGATAACGTCCGTCCTCAAAATCTAACCGCTTGGAATGTCTAACTGATGCAATTCAAACTGCTGCATGTATGTTAAATTTCTATTTATCAGTTAATCTGATACACCATCTAGTGATATTTCATTCATTTTGGCTTTTATGTCAAGAGTATCTGCATGAGGAACAGCAGGGGTACATCTGATATATATATCGTGCAATTATGTCATGATTTGTGGGAGCTATTCAAACATTTAAGATGGGTTCAGATGGACTGAAATTCAGAGAAAGTCATTAGACATGTGACTGTCGACATATGAAGAAATTATGACCCGATTTTAAGAAACTGAATTGTCGCAATTTCCAGCTGCTATGTGCGCCCAGTCCAAAAAAAATTTAGAAATGAGTATTTTCGCATGTCACTAGTTACTCTAACCTAGTCTTTGAAAATCTAGCTGGTCTCAGAATCTGCCAGTCGCATGGTCGACCTGAACCTCGACCCACTGAACCTAAGCTGATATAGATTTCAAAATGGTTAATATTTGAAGCTGCTGTGTTAATACTTTCCATTTTGTCAAAGGTCACTGAATAAAAATTGTAGCAGTTGGGAATACTGACCAGTAAATGACAATCGTCGGATTTTACAATCCATCTAAAGCCATTTTCTATCTTCTGATAAATAGCAAATTATCTTTTAAATCATCATCAAATTATCTTTTGGAAATCCTTTGGAATCATTGGATTCTTCCCTGAATTCACAAAGAAGGATTTAATCCAGTGCAACCATACTCAAAACACTCCTGGCTAAAGATTGTTTCTAAATTGCTCTATTACTTAAGCGTGAAAGTTATTTTTTAGAATATGCAATAATAGAACAAATCATATGAAAACATTATATACTGTATTAACATGTTCAGTTCTACAAAGGACAATCATTCCTGATAGAAGTACAAAATAGAAATGCTTCAGGTTTATTATGATTTAGTATGATCAGGCATGCTCGTCTGAAAAAAGTCTGTTTGGAAGGGGAAATTTATCGGGAAAACATTTGATTGTGACAATGTCCAGGTAAAACGTGTCTTCGTGGCGTTCTCAGCCTCATTTAACCAATCATGATATAAAAAATTAAGACCTTAAACTTCATTTCTTTTCTTCTGCCCAAGGGTATACCACAATTAAATAAATCGGATAATAGTCATAGCGATTGGTAAGTGGTAAGCGGATTATCTCGGTATGAAACACAAATCTATAAGGTAATTATACGCAGATTAAATATCAATATGGTCTACTTCCTCCTGATATCTATATTTGGAATAAATGTGGTTTTATATGGCTTTTCGTTATGACTGTAAAAACCTCCAACAATTGACTAAGTGTTTCAAGACTTCGTTTTTTGTAAAAAAAAAAAAAAAAAAGTCAATTTTTTATGCAAATTTCCTTTAAATGACCCAGAACAGATACCTTGATACCTATGGTTGAGGATAAATACCTCTATGTAGTCTTTACAAGTCCCAGAATAACAATGGTAACCTAGCATGTTGTTTTTTACGTGGATATGAGTGCAAGAGTATGTCTCTCCAGATGAAACATATTCTCTTTCAAGTATAAAAGTGTACTAACATAATAATTAGTAAAAAGCCGAGTTCCAAAATGTACATTGTGTTGTGTAAAGATGAAATGAGAATTTGAGTCATAGAAAGCACGGGCCTAGGACTATTCATTTACAAGTGCTGGTTAACTTAGTAATGTTCTGTTAGTAAAGTTTTGTTAGTTTTAACAATGATGACAAAAAATATTTTGGTGGTACCGACTTGTCCTGGTCCTGTGCTATATTAAAGAAAAAGCTGCTTGTGCTATTATTGTTTGAATCGATGGATATGAAAATAAGCAGAGACAGTAGTCAATAGTGTTCAGTAATGTTATAAATTAATATATTAATTGTAAAATCAAAGCATAATATCATAGTTATGTATGAAATTAATTAATAATTCCTTGCAAAATATATGTTTATTTTTTCAAAGGTCATCATATCAGAAATATATTGTTTTATCTGAGTTGGCATTTTTATTACGTTTCTTTCGGATCCTGCCTAAATAGTGAAATGATTAACGTAGAGCAGCCCTTGACTTTTTTCATTGGAATGGCAATAACGAGGCCCTAAATCCGTAAAGTCCCATTAACTTTTAAATTCGGCCCTTAACTGTCGCAACTCGTTTTTTAACAGATTATTGGTGTGGGGTTTTGCTACATTATAATTTACTTATAAAAACACTCCAAAAGGACACCTTGCCCTAAACTTGCCGACAATGATTTCAAGCATACTCTCCTCAGATGATGCAGTTCATGATAGACATTATCTGTCAGCGCTTCGGATTTTTTTTTTACAAATAAACCAACAAGATTACATTTCGGAAATGGAAAAGTATATCGAAAAAGGATAGGTATCACATTCGATTATAATAAAAATATACAGAGTTAACAGAAAAAAGAAACATACAGAATTTTTCAATCGTTTAACTGTCAGACAAGAATTGATTGAATATCATGGTGATTTACAAAAATGTTGCTATGCCAATTATCGGTTAATGAAACATGTAAAACATGCCAGAAAAATTAAAATCTACCACTGTGAAATTCCACAGACTATGGTTTCGTTTGCATGTATGTACATCTGCTATTAACATAAATAAACATCTAATAAATTTCAACCATGACTGTCGTTCAATCATTTCGACCTACAGTATTAATAGTGATTTTCAATATTATTATATCCATTTGCCTTTCGTATTCAAGATGTACTTTTTTTACATCGACTGAAAGCAAAATAACTGCCTAATAACAGTCGAAATTCCGACGAATATTAAATAGTTTCAGAAGAAAAGAAATGGAGTTTAACATCCTAACCAATCTTCTACATCTAATTTGGCTAATAAAGACGACAACTCCATGCAATCTGCAATAAGGTGAATTTTTATCAGGACAGCGGTATTAGCCTTCCGTTTTTTCCAGCTAAACAAAGTCCGCAGTTGTATCACATGGCACCTCAGTTTATTGTCCGATTCCACCAACTGCTCGCTTTTCTCCCTCCAGTGAGCCCTCCGTTCTCCAAGACTATAGGGGAAACCATGTGAACAATTTAAGGGTGACAGTAAAATATGCCGTCTGTTGAAATGAAACTTTACATCAATAATATATCAATATTATACTATATATTTCATATAGATACGTCAAGGTGACAAGACTATACAATTCATATTGAAAACAACCGGAGACATATTTCACTAGAAAAGTTTCTTACTCTGATTAATATTCATCAGCGAATACAAAAATAAAGCTTGAATCCGTATATAATGGCCAAACGTCAGAGCTATATAAGAAAATGACGCACAGATGCCAAAAAGAAAAATGTTTCCAATTACATGGCAACGTGCATTGTTTCAGATTTCAAACTCTATTAGCTATTGCAGAGAGTAATTGGGAGTGCCGAGTTTTAAGTCTATCTTTAGACTATTCTGACGACAGAATTAAGAACAAATTAAAGGATTGGGTTCTTTCATACTGATATGTCAACTGTCCAGAAATTATTATTTTACTTCTCACAAATATCTCAAATCAGAGAGCTTGTTTACTCCTGTCTCATCTGTCTGAACGATCCCAATATTTGTTAAGTATGGAATTTTCAGACATGCTCCATTATCGTATCACATTGGAAAACCAATTTCAAACAATCCACTTATGCACCTTTAAGATAAAAATCTAAACAAAATATGTCACTTGGAAGATCATTTTACTCGATCTTTTAGGTTCATCAGAAGAACAGTTGGGATGTCATTATAAATGAAAATGATGGATATATCATCAGAAAATATCAACCTATCCACATGGTGGTATGCAAAATTCTATAGTAATTATATTTCACATTATTATGGCTTTCAATGTTAGATATCTTTCCAGATATAGACATTATAATTTGATTTAAGATGTTATTTTACGGCTCGTCTGATTTGTTTTGCTTAGACTATCTCAGCGACGTCACCAATCCGAACATACGTGCTTAGGTTTACTTGCACCCTAAAAAAGGGGTAATAATGTAAAGTAACAACCTATTCTACCTATTCATGTGTAAAGGTAAAAAAATAAAATTTCTTATTACGTTTATACTTCGCAAATTAGTTTATAGACATATTCGTAAGCCACATGATGGTTTCAAATTCTGGACCAGCATATAAATCTAGTAGAAGAACCAACCGAATAGTAGGAGAACACACAGTAAATAAATGGATAAAAATATTGCTCGAGGTCTGTTTCGAAATCGATACGATTCTGACGTTATTTGTTTTCCAAAATAAAAAAATAAAGCCTCTAAAAAGATGAAACAAAACAATGAGAATCTACATCAAATAGAAATTCATGTAAAACCGAAATAAAATTCGATCAGATCTTAATTAACTACTATTTTTTCGAAAAAAAATTC